GCCGCCTCGCCTGCACTCTTCCATGTGTTGTGACCACCAGCGTGAGAAAGGGTGAGTAGGTGTGAGACTTCCCCAGAAAAGTCTGACTGGCAGGGCTGGCATCTGAAAGGTCTCAAGAAGTTCCCCTCCAGTAAGCTGCTTGGTTTCTCAGCCCACTTGAAGGCTCAGTGACTACCAAGCGCTGTGGGACTGAATCACACAGCTTACTCGCACTGCCTGGTTCTCCAATCTCCTCGTCTTTGCCCAGGTGACTGCTGCTGCCTTTCCCTTACGGCCACGCTGCTCATCACAAGCCCCCCCAGAGCCTCGCCACGGGCAGCTCACAGAATCACAGAATGCTGTGGGGCTGGAAGGGACCTCTGGAGATCATCCAGTCAAAACCCCTGCCCAAAGCAGGTCCACCCAGAGCAGGTTGCACAGGAACGTGTCCAGGTGGGGTTTGAATGTCTCCAGAGAAGGAGACCCCACCACCTCCCTGGGCAGCCTCTGCCAGGGCTCTGCCACCCTCACAGGAAAGAAGTTCCTCCTCATGTTTAGGTGGAGCGTCTTATGTTCAAGTTTGTGCCCATTTCCTCTTGTCCTGTCATTGGGCACCACTGAAAAAAGACTGGCCCCATCCTCTTGACATAAGTATTTATCAGATACCCCCTCAGTCTTCTTTTCTCCACACAAAAAAGACCCAAGCCCCTCAGCCTCTCCTCATTAGAGAGATGCTCCAGGCCCCTCATAATCTCCATAGCCCTTTGCTGTCCCTTCTCCAGCAATTCCCTGTCCTTGAACTGCAGAGCCCAGAACTGGGCACAGTACTCCAGAAGCTCAACATCCCGCCATCCACATATTCAATCCTCTCTTCCTTATTCTATCTCCTACTCCTCTGGGTTATGGGCTTGCAATTCCCCAGGCCAACTTCTAACCACCAGCACCGTACTTTAGGCAGGGTATCACACGCCAGGCCCAGCGCCTTGTTCTGTAGTGGTACCACCAGGGCCCAGCAGCCCATTACCCGCCCTCACTGCTCCCCAGCCTCTTCCCCCAAGGCTTCAACGGGAGCCAAAACGTCTCCGGAGAGCCTCCATGCTGAGCGCTGTGGGCACAGAGCAGTGCAGCCGCGCTGCAGGCTCCTGCCTCTCATCTCCCCTCGCGGCTACAGGCCGCCCGCCCCCTCCCCGCGGGGAAGGCCCTCAGGCCCGGCGCCGCTCAGGGGCCCGCCTC